CACAACGCGAGGGGGCCTGGGAGTGTCAGAAGCCAGCGCCCACGCCATCCCGACGTGAGTCCGCTGTATCCAGCTGCGCTGCCGCGCGCAGCCGCAGCCGCGCCTCTGGGGAGGCCGCCGGCAGATGCGCCGAGGCCCGCGTGGCACGGCCAGGGCCCTCTGCACAGCCGTTGCGGTGCCCTTCGGGGTGCTTCTCCAGAGCCTCTCGGGGGGCCTCTTGGGGCTCCCGGGGCCGTCCGGGGGTCCCGTGTCGGGACGATCGGAACAGGTACGGCAAGAATGGGTGCGAAGAGTAGCAGCGGTTACTGTCCACCTTGAACAGGGCTCGCTGTCGGCGTCGCCGCGGATGTCCAATCGAGACGGAAGACCGCCTGCCCAACAGCGGCCGCGCAGGAGGAGGTGGAGGAGGAGGAAGACAAATCAGAGGACTACGAATAATAGTATTAACAACAATAGTAATATTACTTCTAGTAATAGTCATACTCAGATTATAGTCAGAAGAAGAATAAGACGAATCATACTCAGAAGAAACAGGGGACTATTTTCAATACTAGTTTTGAGATTGCGACTAGTAAGAAGGAGCGCAATCTTAATTATGCGAAAACACATAATAGTATTGCTCAGCACTGTCGGAAAAATGGTACAAATTCAACGAAGGCTAATACTAATGCGACTATTATTAAGAATGACGGGGCTAAGACTAACACTATCACTAACAGTAAGAGTAGTATTAATAAACAAAATAAGAAGACGAGTCATAATGATGATACGTAGGAATTATACGACGACTAATGCTATCAACACGCGTATTACTGTTACTAGTAATACGAGACGATACTAATACTAATGATACTAAGAACAACAATATTACTAACACTAAGCATTCGAATAACAACAACCATCGTAATAGTCATATGCGTATTCATCTTGCTAATACGAATAAGAGGAGGAGGAGAGGCCAGGAGGAAAAGGAGGAGGCAGAGGTGATGGAGGAACTGCTCGGAGGAGGATGATGAGGAAACGGATGAGGTCTTCATAGGTCCCTGGAGGTCTCCAGAGGCACGAGGAGGTTCCCAGAGACGTTCGGAGGGTCGCTGGAGGTTCTGTGGAGATCGCCAGAGGTCTCTGGAGGAGGTGTCTGGAAGCCTGAGTAGGAGTCGAGTTGGCCAGGTCGAGCGAGCTAGCAGGTCTCGCCCATTCCCACCCGCCTTGATACAACGAATTACTTGTGCCATGCTTTGATTTCGGGATTGGAGCGTGTTCCCACCTAGCGAGCGGAAGACGCTCTCGCGCGGTCCCGCTTCCGACGACTTGGCGAAGGGGCAGCTGCGCGGGCCGCGCAAGGGCGGGAGCGGCCAAACTTCCTATGAGTGCGGCGAAGACGAAGCATGTGCCGCGCTGGCGCAGCACTGCCACTTTCGCCCGCTCTCGCGCGGTCCCGGTGCCACTGCGGGTCTCATGCGATTCGGCGAACGCAACATGCGCCGCGCCCGCGCGGGAACGCCATTTCCACACGAACAGTGCGCGTAGCTGAGGCGAATGCGTCAGGTCGCCCGCTCGCGCGGGGCCACAAATTTTGGCGCATGACAGGCGTGTGCCGTGCTGGGGCGAGAGCGCCTCTTTCAAGCGAAGTCTGAGTGGCGCCGAGGCGGGAAAAACATTTTCGCCTGCTCGCGCGTCGACGATGTGGCGTGCGAGAAATTCGTGCCACGTCCGAGCGGTGGCTCAACCCGCCAGAGACATGAGCGCGGCGCCGAGGCTAGGGCGGCATTTCGCACTTCCGCGCGGGCTGCACGCCCCGTCCCAGTCCTGCCACGCGCTATTCGGGGGTGGACAGAACCTCCACCTTGACACGTCGATTAGTGAATTGTCAGTTTTTCGGTTCTCGAGAGGGCGCCGCGACCGTCATTTTCCAGGCTTGCGCCCGCCAGGTTTGGGCCCGAGGTCGTTTTCACGAAACCACGTTTTACAAAAGGGGGTTCTGTCCATCCCCGAGTTATGCGACGTGGGCGACAGAACGTCAATGTTGAGAGCTAAAACGTAGACTGCCCTTGACAGGTGCGATGGACCCCCGGATGGGCCTGCCATCGGCCGGCTAGGTGGCAGAGTGCTAGTATATTCGAGCATACAGGAATATGCATAGGATAACGAGGAAATGGAGGAGGGAGGAGGGAGGGGGAAGGGAGTAGGAGGGGAAAGGGAAGAGGCAGGAGGGAGGAGGGAGGAGGGCAAAGGGAGGAGGCAGGATGATGACGATGATGATGATGATGATGATGATGATGATGATGATGATGATGATGATGATGATGATGATGATGATGATGCTGATGATGATGACGATGCTGATGCTGATGCTGATGCTGATGCTGCTGCTGCTGATAATGATGATGATGCTGCTGATGATGATGATTATGCTGATGCTGATGATGATACTGCTGATGATGACGATGATAATGATGATGATAATGCTGCAGATGATGATGATGATGATGATGATGATGATGCTGATGCTGCTGCTGATGATGCTGTTGATGACGATGATGCTGCTGCTGCTTATGATGATGCTGATGATGATGATGATGCTGCTGATGATGATGCTGCTGATAATCATGATGATGGTGGTGTTGTTGTTGGTGGTGGTGATGATGACGATGATGACGATGATTATGATGATGAGGATGATGATTATGCTGATGATGATGATGATGATGATGATGATGATGATGATGATGATGATGCTGATGATGATGACGATTATGATTAGGATGATGATGATGATGATGATGATGATGATG